CTGTTCCTGTGTCTGGCCGTTCTGGTGCTCAGAGCTCTGTAGCGTCGACCAGATGGCAACAGTTCAAAGAAGGAGTGTGCTGGATGTGAGAGGTCCAGAGTGATTTTGCTAGCCCTTTTGCTCACTTTGGATGAGTACAGTTCTTGGAGAGTAGGGAGGGTTGTACCAATGATTCACTGAGCGTGTTGAGCTCCAGGTTGTTGAGACTGCACCAGACAGCCAGCTCTTTAACCTCCTGTCTGTAAGCATACTACCCCTTCTAACCTAGAAAGTTGCCCCATGTATCATCTTCACTGTATTTTTGCTGAGCAGTCTTTTGGGTGGCTCACCAGTGTACTAGATTTCTCTAATACAAAAAATTAGGTAGCCTTGACCAAAAATTTTGTGGGGAGAAGAATTTATTGAAGATGGTAGTGTAGCAGTTCTTCAGTAGCGATGTTAGCATGTCTTCCTTCAAACAATCAATGCATGGATCTCAGGCTGCCTGGCAAACATCTCGGCATGGATGAAGGAACATCACCTGCAGCTCAACTTGGCAAAGACTGAGCTTCTCGATTTCCCTGCCACTCCAACTCTACAGCAAGATTTCATCATCCTGTTAGGTTCATCAAATATTATTCTTTGGTGACCAGCTGACCTTCAAGGACCATATTGTAAAGACAGCTCGATCATGCAGGTTTGCATTGCACAACATCAGGAGGATCAGGCCCTTCCAAACGGAGCATGCTGCACAACTTCTTGCCCAAGCCCTTGTTATTTCTAGGCTGGACTACTGTAATGCTCTTCTAGCAGGACTTCCATTATGCGGAATCAAACCTCAACAAATGTAGGGAGATAAAGAGAGGTGTGAAGTAGGGCTGTGCAATTAATCGCATGCTATTGTCATGCGCATCTCGTCAGTAAAGCCGGTTCCGTGATTAGTAGTAAATCTCCATCACCTGCTTTCAGATGGAGCGGCATTTACTACACAGAGCCGTAGTTCACTGACAATTAGGCAATATCGCGTTCATTATCGCAGACTGACTTCTACTTCACACCTCTCTTTATCTCCCTGCACTGGCTACCGGTTGCGGCTCGCATCAAACGTGTACTGGACCGAGTCAAAATAGTCTTGGTTATTGGACCCGCAACCCACCCGTGCTTGTCACCGTCCGGCCCGCACCCACACCCGCACCACACCCTACACATATGCATTATTCCACCCGTTACATCAAATATTAGCGATTCACCAGCGTGTACCCGCCCGCATGCAGGACTCTGGCTTCCCCCCTGTGGACATTATAGACAACTCTGGCCCTAGAGAGTGATTGTAAATTAAGTTTACATGAAATATGTTTGAAATTTCATTCTGCATCTTCTGAGATTTCATTGTAATCCTTCACATAAAGTCACTGAATTAACCATTAACTGTGCACCTGATTGCGTTGCTGTCTGTGTGTGATGTTAGAGCATTGTTGAGAGAAAACAAGAATGTATTGGAGCCACATTACCGCCTACCCGACTCTGCCTGAGAGGTAAAGAAAAATTCACTTACAGTTAGGGCTGGGTTTTGACACAAATTTCACGATTCGATTGGATTCTCATTCACAAGCTTGCGATTCGATACGATTACCGATTTGATTCGATTCAATATTTATTCGATTCGATTATTTTTTATATATATCAGGTACAGTACATGTCAAATTTTCTCAAGGAAAAACAATCTCTCAACTAATGCTGTAAAATATACATGAGAGTCAGTTGGTACTACATTACAATAATATTGAATGTTAAAATTAACTGATGTTAAAATTTCACTTAATGAAGTTTTTAAAATAATAAAGTTACAATTACACAATATTTCTACTTCAATTAGTTTTTTTTTATTTTTTTATATAAACATAATGGTGGCTGTCATCAAATCTTGATGGATTTATTCAAACATACATTAAACATTGAAGAATAGTCAAATTTATAATGAATGTTATATGGTGCATATATTTAGCAAAATGCCCCTCTCTACAGTTTATTTTTCTATCTGACTAATGAGTTTATGGTCACCGAATGTTTTTCTGAGGTAAATGTGACGTTACATGACATTGTTTACAAGACATTGACGTCTTTGCGCAACTGAAACATTGATTGAGCGATTACATGAGACAGGATACGGATTGTAAAGTTGTACTCTTTCCTTTAACTTACCTTCGGATGTTTAGTCATGATTATTTTGTGCTGAAACTGGTATTAATGTGGAGGAGATGATCATTTCACGTGTGCCACGCGTTGCCGCTAGGGATGGGCGTATCGATACTGACGCAAGTATCGAAAGTATCCATACTCAAACAAAAAATATCGATACTACGGTGTGTTTTATTTACCAGTGATTTTGTTAATTCAACAAAAAATAATAATAAATAATGCGTACAATATGCATTGAATTGGACGAATAACCTTTGTTAGCGAGTAATTGTGTAGGATATAACTATTTTCCTGCTCATCTGAACAGCAAATGTTGCAAGACAGAACCAATCCATCACAGAGAGCATTCACTCACTGCTGACAGTGCATTCAAACGGCTGCGTTTCCCAAAAGTATCATAAGAAAGCATTAAAGCTTTTGGGAACGGCAGCCCTGAACAATGCTTATCAGAGGACAGAAGGACAGAGTTATTTCACAATAAACAAACTGAAATTGTAGCGTACATAGTTTGTGCAATTACAGTTATTTAAATTGAACGTTGAAAGATAATATTGATCATGTTCTATTCTGTAATGTTACGGCATTTATTGTTTGAATACTGCAATACAATGGACAGAATTTGAAATCTGAGACTGTTTCATATTAAAAGTAACGTACCAAAGCACAATGCTTATTGCGATATATTGGATGGTCCGTTAAAGGCAACATTCCATCCATTAACTGAAAACAGGCTAGACTAACGTAATCAATTCTTGGGATTTAAGAATCGATATCGTTCCGTTAAAAAGGAGAATCGATTAATATCGAGATATCTATATTTTTTACCCAGTCCTAAGTACCTGAGATTATTTTTTTAATATATCTCTGAAATATATGATAATATTCTTGAAAACAATCTTTTAATGTATCATTGAATAAAATATTAGTTAATTATCAAAGAAAGAAAAAATTCATAGCCATAATATGGATTTTTGTAAATGCTGTGATACTGTGATGCTCAGATACTGTGATTTCCTTCTCACATTGCTGATTTCACCATTAACTCTTTACCTGAACAAGTTTCTGTTGCTGTATATGGTATCATTGTAACCCTTGACCATCAAAACATATGGGTATCACCTTTTCTGTGTTATCATGTTTGGTTCAGGAGATAAGACACAAAATACATAATTTGGTTATTGCGGAAAGTAAAATGGTCAATTTTGCTCTATACTATACAAGTGTACCAAGTTTCATGCTTTTATGTAAAAGTGAACATTATTTCACATATCACCTGGACTAGCTCAACTACCGTTAAGATGTGCTACTGCATTAAAAACAGACAAACTCTGAATAAACACTTACTGGTACTATGTCTTTCGGGCCATGCACATCTCTGGAGTGTGTCTGTCCTTGTGACACATGAATGTTACTGAGGTCCGGCTTTCCATCATGCTGAGAGAGATAACTTGGATCTCGGGGCAGAAAGACCAGCGCTTGACCATCATATCCTCTCCCAGAAAAACTCTTTTAAGAAACAGAATTGAAACGTTCGTTCCCATCACCAAAATTATTTAGTTTATGCTTTCAAGTGGCCTTATAAGCTTTTTTGATATAAAATGATGAAATAATAGCATTATGAGTGCTATATTCTGATGTCATCTATCTCCAACAGTATTTGGTTCTGCAGACTTGTATGAATTAAACACGACTAAAATCACACATTTCAGACTTTATTTCTTTTGTCTAAAATTTGGGATGCCCCGATACCAAACAGCATGTGATAAGCGCCATATTCAAACAAAGAAACACTGACAACAGACAGCAGAAAGGAGTTATGGATGTCTACTACGAAGTATATGTATGCAATGAATATAATGTTAAACATTCAGTATTAACGCCTGTATAGCTGATGTACGCGAGCTGATAAACAAAGCGCGCTAAGTGGATTGAGCTCGCGGCGGTGCAGATGCGCAAGCTTGTCGAATGAATATATCTTTCTCACAGACATCACTTACCATGTTCCAAACTATAGCGAATAAACTGTGATAATGTGAGAAATGTTGAAGGTGTCTGAATAAATTTTGGTTTGACTGTATCTATTTGATAAATGAAGTTAACCAACTAACATTATACATACCCTTTTGGTTTCTGTACCCAATATTTAAAAAATGTACAAATGCAATAAAAATATCGGTATCGGCATCGGTATCGGCAAGTACCAAAAATAAAAGTATCGGTATCGGGCGAGTACTGGAAAAAGTGGTATCGGTGCATCCCTATCTAAAATACTACGTGCAACAAGGGATACACATGCCTCCCAGAACATTTTTTTCCCTGTGAAGTGACAGTCTCTCACTTCCGGCAATATGAATCAACAGTTTTGAGGACGTCACCCTGCACTTCAGCTTCTCATCAAACTTTCTGTCCAATCTTTATGATTTCATTTGGAGAAAAAAGGCTCACTATTTACGAAAATATATTTTAAATAATAGCAGAGAATTTGGGGGCCTTGAAGTGTTACATTTTACAGACCTAAATGAGGTATTTAAGATAAAATGGATAATTGAGTACATTAAAAATAAAGATACTGTGTGACATATATTTCCCAATTTCATATTTAATTCACTTGGTGGCATTCGTTTTCTTTTCAAAAATTTTTTTTCTATTGATAAAATCCCTATTAAATTGGCAAGCTTTCATAAGCAGTCATTGCTGGCTTGGCAATTAATCTATAAGCACAATTTTACACCACATAGGTATTTTCTGTAGAATAATAGAGATGTCTTGTATTTAAAAAATAAAATAAAAAATTGTATTAAAAAAATCTTTAATAAGTAATGGTATGACAATGGAATATTTACAGTTAGTCAGTTGCTCAATGAACATGGTTTGCTTTTGTCATACTCAGAATTCCTTCAAAAATGTAAAATTCCTATGAAACCAAAAGTCTATGCTGTTATCTTTGACACAATCCCAAGTAAAGTTGTATCATTGTTACATAATTCTGCACATTCTGTTAATGCTAACCAACAACCCATGACTTGTGATGATATGATATTTATTGGTGATATTGATATTGTTAAAGATTAATGCAGTAATAGATACATTAGAAATGTGTTAAAGGAGAATTATGTGCCATGCACAACAGTCTTTTGGTCATCTAAACATGAAAACATTGAGTGGAAGAAAGTATGGTCAATAACAAATACGTTTTTTATAAGTGATAAAGTTAGAGAGGTATCTTATAAAATATTACACAGAATTTACCCTGTTAAAGTGTTATTTTAACTATTTGAATTGGATATGGAAAACTCTTGTGATTTTTGCGGTGGTGTTAAAGAATCTGTGATTCATCTCTTTTTTCAGTTTGTGCACTCAAGATTATTTTGGATAGATGTATCTAACTTCATTTCAAGGATGTTTGGAACATTAATTCAAATTGAAATGTAGCCTATAATGTCATATTTATTTTTGTACAAGATACCATTGATTCTAAAAGTACATTTTCTTTTCTTACACAACAAATTATTTTACTTGGGAAAATATCATATTCATGTAAAGAAATGGGCTAAAGCTAAGCCAAATTGTGAACACTTTATAAAAGAATTTAAACAATATGGTACTACTTTGCCTAATATTAGAAACCAAAAAGCTAAAAAGACTTATGAAGCTCTATGTCACTTTTACCCCTGGCATACTTTAATACTATTTTTTCTCATAATTGTTGTGAGATGTATATGTCTGTACTAATTTTGTACATAATTGCATAATAAAAAATAAAAAATAAACTTTCTGTCCAATCAAATGCTCTCTAGAATCTGAAATGTCCCGCCCCCTACACTATAAATACAGGTTGAAACTGCGGCTGAAACTGATCGCTTGTTCATAGAATTAGTATTCTCTGTGTGCTGAATGGCACGTAGTGCACTATATAGGGAATATGCTTTCCATTGGGTCGAAAGAAGTCTGGTTTCGCGTTGTTAGTCTGATCCGGTACAGAGACACGATAGCGCGGACTCGGAGCGGAGCATATTCGAGTCGCGCATACCACAACATGTATCGGACCCATTTGAATTCTACACAGAATGCTATATTTTATAGCGATTTGGATCAGATTTGGAGGAGAAACGGTTAGACAAACGGCACTAACGAGTAGAAGAGATAACACCGGTGCCCTGCACCATCATGACACAATTTTCAAACTATACGTCATCACTGTTTTGCTTTACTTCAGTGGACCTTTAAACTCAGCGCTCACAGCGTGTTCTTACCTCTGCGTGTGTTGTCGAATAAATGGATTTAGTCTGATCGCCAAGAGTCAGTGTGCTTTGATGCATTGGCCGTTTGCCCCGTGTGCACGGTGTCGGTGTGCAGGTGGGACGCTCTTTGATTGAGGTCATTTGATGGCTGCCTTCACCATATCCCAAAGACACAACTGCAGTTCTTCTCCTTAGAGATGACACGACTCTATAAAACGAATTTGAAAACCACTGTATTTTCGCTTGCCACCTTTCTACTAGGACTCGATATCACTGCGATCCTCATCCTCATATAGGCCTACCAATTTTCTGTTGTTTCACAACGGGCGCTAGTAGCAACGCCACAACAATAGACTTTTATCAGAAAGTACAAGCGTAAGAACGTATTTACATGTAAATACTATTCTCAATATTTAAATAATAATAATAACCTAGGAAATATCTAAAAGAGGGGAAAATATTATGAAACACAAAATTATGAAGAAAAACTGGCATAACAAATTATAATTATAATAAATGATAGTATATTGGTTAAATTAAAGTTAATAAATTAAAGGATATTGGTTAGACATCACCAGAGTGAATTTGGGTAACATTAAAGCCATTCTGTGTGAATTACAGGGGAGTAACAGATTTCTGTAATCTGTTATGTTGTGTTGTCGGAGTCGGTGACCTTGCTGTATCTATAAATTAAAAATGTAGGCCTATAATTTTTCTTAATCACAAACTAGTGGTATATTTTGCAGAATTACACAATGTTATCACACTTATGCTATCACTTGTAATCACATTCAGCAATTTCTCTAAAGAAAAAAGATAAAGATCAATTTCTTTGCTATGTCACATTTAATTGCAACCCAGACAAAAATAATATCCTAACAAGCTTTACCACATTCTGAGAACATCTTTTACTGAAAATCAGTGTTAACAGAAATCTCCAGTTGTGTTCCTAAACGGGATCTCATATAGGCTACAGATTATTTGAGCAAAATTAAGCATGTCCACAAACACATTTGACATGTTTGTGTTTGAATGGTTCTAAAAATATATGCTTAGTATACTGTATATATATGTTAAAAAGCCAATGGGAAAACGTAGCCTACAGAATGTCATCTTTAAATTCTACCCACTCCGGCACATATGATTTACTAGATATGAATAACAGCACTTTTAGAGTTCCATCCCTCTATTTTATGTCAGAATAAGTACAATTGACAGTACTATTGAGTGAAACAATTGAAAGTTGTTCATAAATGATCAGGTGTTTTTTTATTGGATTACCGGATCAGTGATCACACATACTTTTGACAAAATCTTTGTATTTTATAATGTACAATGAGCACACAGACATTAGTGGCCATGCTTAAAAGATTCAGAAGAGATTCAATAAACAGCTTTGAATGAATCTACGATATTCAAAAATTACTAACTATGCTCAAACTAGACTGATTTTTTTTTACAGACTTAAATATTTCCTTTGATATATTCACTTACAGTATAAGTAATTGAGCTCATCTGACACAACTTTCATTCAAACTGAACATGAATGCTGTGTGCTTTGAGAACACTGTTTTTTTTTCTATAATAGAGTAGACCTTTAGCTTAAGGTAAAACTGCTTCCACATTGAGGGCAAGTGTGCAGCTTCTTTTCTTTGTGACTTAATATGTGCCTCTTAAAGTTTCCTTTATGTGGGAATCTCTTTCCACACTAAGAGCATGTGAAAGGTCTCTCTCTAGTGTGAATTGTCCCACACTGTGCAGTTTTTCATGTGTTTTCAGGCTTCCTGACTGGGCGAAACTCTTTTCACAATATGAGCACTTGTGGGGTCATTCTCTCGTATATGGACTCTATGGTGTTTTATCAACTAGTCGGCTCTACTAAAGGCTTTTCCACATTCACAGCACACATGAGTTTTAACACACTCATGTGTTTTCTGGTGCCTTTTAAAAGAGTCAATACATACAAATCTCTTTGCACAAGCATAACAGTCATAAGGTTTCTCTTTTGTATGAACATTCAGGTGTTTCTAAAGTAATTTTTTTATTGCAGTGATCAGTTAAATTCCTGTAGTGAGTGATAGCGGTGCAGATGATATTTGAGACTGCTTGCCCATGTGAAACTCTTTCCACACTGATTACACACATAGGGTTTTCTTTAATGTGAATTCTCATGTGAGTTTCGGCTCGAGATTTATTTATGAATTTCTTTTCACAATGAGGGCAAGTGAAAGGCTGGCCAACTTGAATAGCGCACTACCACCACCTACTGTTAGCATGAACCAGATACACGATGCCCTTCATTCAATTGTTTTTATTACAGTACATTAAACATTTACAAACACGAGTAATACTGTGTAACATGCTAAAGAGTATGAGTAATCATATTTTGTAAATACATTCATTTTCATATTTACTTCCATAAAAGAGTAGCATCAAAAGAAAAACAAAAAAATTAAGAAAAAAATAAAAACAAAAAACTGTGAAAGGAATAAAATTAAAGTATCAAAAAGAAAGTCACATTTAAATAGCATGCGTTCCTTTTCTTTCTTTTTTTTGGTCTCTTACATGCTTTAGAATCTCATTTGAATGCTTAGTATATTATTTTCTATACAGCTAGTTAGTCTTTGAATTTGATTGAATCATCAGCAAGGTTTGTATATATTTTTTGACCAGGACAATTTTTATTTGGAATAAAATTAATAAAAAAAATAAATAAAATAAATTAAGCACAAAAATGCTTGTTTTTTCATGTATTCCTATAGGCGTCTATACTGTATATGCTTGGCCCTTTCTAAATATATTATATATATATAGACCTTATGTGTCAGAGAAACAAGTGCACAGCAATCTTTAGATTTTTTTCTTTGAACTTCTGTTTTTGCAGTAGCTCTATAGCATCACTGTTAACGAGTAATTATCTGAAGTGGATTTACTTATTGTAGAGTTAACATGTTATCACGTGCATTGTAATGTTCGAAGCGGATGTGGTAACAAATGTCGGTTGACCGGGAAGATTTTAAAACGAGCGGTTATTAGCTTGTGAAGTGGATTTACTTATTGTAGAGTTAACAAAAGTTATCATGTGCATTGTAATGTTTAGAAGCGGATCTCATAACTAATGCTAGTAGACCAGGAAGATTTTAAAACAAGCGGTTCATTCATAAATTCGTACGACCCATACCTTCACGCTGTGGGAAGACAGAAGACAACGGGGCGGAGCTACATAAGGTCTACATTTACATTTATGTATTATAAAAAATGTAGTTTTCCAGACTCCACTCTCACTCCCTTGGTTTTCTGATTTAGTTTTCTTTAACAATAATGTACTAGATGCACAAACTTTCTGCTGCCATTTACATTGAATGAGAGCTTATTCGCCAATAAATGTTGTAGATGTAATAGCTTTTTTGGTAGAAATGCAATCTTTGGGCATATCTGACACTATCTGGATTTCAACTGAGCATGAATTTGGCACACTTTGGGAACACTGCTTTTCTCTGTGATAACTTAGACCTTTTGCTGAGGTGAAGCTGCTTCCACATTGAGCGCAGGTGTATGGCTTCTCTCCAGTATGCAGTCTTACATGTTCTCCCAGGTTTGCTTTCTTACTGAAACTCTTTCCACAGTATAAGCACATGTACGGCCGTTCTCCCATATGGACTTTTTGGTGTTTTATCAAATAATCGGCTGTAGTAAAGGCTCTCCCACACTCTGAGCAAACATGGGTTTTCACACCCTCATGTATTTTCTGGTGTGCTTTGAAACACAGGAGCCATAAAAAACTTTTTCCGCAAAACGAACAGACAAAAGGTTTCTCGTTTTGATGAATTTTCAAGTGTCTCTTTAGGTATGACTCTAAAACAAACGTTTTATTGCAGTGCTCACAGGTAAACTCCCTTTCTTCCGAGTGAGAGTGGCGCATATGAATTTTCAGACAGCTTGCCCATGCAAAACCCTTTCCACACTGAAGGCATTTAAAAGGCTTCTCTTCAGTATGAATTCTCATGTGATATGTAACGTCTCGTTTACTGATGAAGCTCTTTCCACACTGAGAGCAGGCGAAAGGTCGCTCTCCGGTGTGGATTTTTATGTGTTCCTTAAGGTGTCCTTTATTCAGGAAACTCTTTCCGCACTGAAGGCATGTGTGAAGACACTCTCCAGTGTGAACTTTGATGTGATCATTAAGGGATCGTTTATAACTGAAACTCTTTCCACATTGAGAGCAGGTGAAGGGTTTGCCTCTATCGTGACTTAGTAAGTGACTTCGAAAGTGTTCGTTACGTTTGTACCTCTTTCCACACCGAGGACAGACGAAAGGCTTCTCTTCATTGTGAATTAGTATGTGATCATTAAGGTTTCTTCTGCGTGAGAATCTCCTTCCACACTGAGGGCAAGTGAATGGCTTCTCTCCGGTGTGAGTTAACATATGATCGTTAAGGTGACCTCTATGGGCACAATGTTTTCCACACAGAGAGCAGGTGAAATGCTTTTTGACTGTTGTTTGAGTGCTGCTTTGTGAGAAATTGTTTTCAGTTTGGGAGCAAGTCAATGACTTTTCTCCAGTGAGGACATCATGAGCTTTCTGATGCTGATGTTTCTCCTCCACTTCATTCAGAATTTGACTTTCCTCTTTCACCTCCACGAGGCCTGAAATGACAACAATAAATTACTGAAAATCAACACAAGCAGGACAAACAGGAAAAAAATGATTTATGCATTTTGTAGTCATTTATTTTCTTCATCAGATTATTATATCAGCTCTAACTGGTTACATTCATGTTCCACAACAATTAAATAATAATAATAATAATAAAAAATGGACACCGACCTTCTTGGTGCTCATTATCTATTCTGCAGGGCTCTTGATCACACGTGTCCTCACTCTCCTCCTTAATAAACATCATCTTTTAAAGTTGCATTTCACCTCGAGATATTCCTGTTTATTACGCTTATAACAAGGATAAAGGCAATATTGCTAGTGTTTAAATGAATTAATTCGTGTCTTTCTGCTATGAAGTTAAAAGACGTCAGAAGGCAAAATTTGTGTTTTGAAATTTGTATCAGGGACACATAACCTCTCATTTACTGGGTTGCGTTCATGGTTGCGTTGTTGTCATCGTCTTATTCTTGTAATGTTGGCAAGTCACCTTTGGCGCATTGCTGCCACTAACTGGACTGGAGGATGGAGTGTCAGAATGAAAAGAGGGAAAACTGTTCTTCCTTATCGTTTTTCTTTTCTTATTGTAGCCTGCCTATCTATCTATCTAT